CCCCAAAACCCCAAAACCCCAAAACCCCAAAACCCCAAAACCCCATCTAAAATAATATAACTGAGAACAAAATGGTGAATGTTAGTTCACATCAGCCGCTCATCGTTAAGAAATAATAAATAAGAATTAGCTTATAGCTAAGATTTGCCATTGAGTTTTGTAGTCCTAGCCAGAGATGACGCAGCATATCTCTATGTATTATTCTTCCTTCCCAAAGGAAATATTTAGTGCATCTTCTAATTCAGAATAATCTTTCTTGATGCTTAGTTTTTCTTGAGATCTTGCTTTTGGAAAATACTTTTTAATATGTATATCTTTCAACAAGCTGAACTCAGAAAAACTATACGAAATTTTAAGGATTCCTAGAAAATTTAATATTGGATACTGGCAGCTTTGTCCTTTTAATGAAGAAAGAGATTTAAGCTGGAAGTAATGACAATAGGCTAAAAATACAATAGAGACTTACCTGCAGAATACTTGAGGCTCAATATTCATCTGTGATTTTCTGAAATGGAACTTGGCATCAATATCTGCAATAGCTTGTTTGGAAAACTGTTTAGGGTCGCATAACATCCAGATGATCTTTAGTCTTTCTTTCACTGATTCAGTGTCTAAAGGGTGAAGGACTGATATTACTTTTATATGCTTTACATACATATTCGAACTATAAAAGTTAAGTACTCAAAGCTCCCAAATGAAGATATTGGGCTTTCATATGAATTAACAAATTTATAATTTAAGAAGTTTCTAAACTGTGGTGAGTGTAATGATTTCAGTCCTACCAAGAGATCCATAGGAGTGATTGACTGAATTCTGATCGTTTTATCAATCCGTCGAGCAATCCTGAATAGCTTGAAATCTCTAGCGTAATTGTTATACTCAATAAACTTTGTTCTACAAATGTTAACACAAGTTCATGTGTTGGAATGGGTATGCCTATAGATTTCTTTTGCTCTTTTGGACCCTCGAATTTTATATTTGTAATAAGACACAATATGGTTCTTTGCTTTCATTTTAACATCTTCATACCTTCTTATGTTTCCAAGAAGTTTATATGAGAATTTTTGAGGTTTATCAAACTCTAGAAATTGCTGATATGAAATCAAGAAGAAGGCAGTTGTCTGAATTCCGATTATTGATCAGAGAAGGCCGATATATGACCCAGTTCCAGAGTAAGGAACCACGTCCCCATACCCCACAGTAGTCATCGATGTTATTGCTCACCAGATACTGTTCCTAATATCCATCGGAGGAGCATCAGGCACCATGTGTCTACTTGGAGTTTCTCAAATTCTAAACATATAGCCAAAAAGAACTGAATAAACTAAAAATCATGCTGATACAAGTTTAACACTGTTCTCTCGGAATATACACTTAAAAGCGAATTTATAGTCAACCCTAACTCCCATTCAGGCTGCTACTCTGCAAGCACGGCTGTTCATGTATTCTGAGTTTTCTAGGAAGCAGACCAGAAGTGAACTATTAAAGTCTTATAAAGATTGCTGCACAAAGGAAAGGTGTATTCGCATAGATCTTCACTTTATTAAAGCCTCCTTGGTAGAAGTCACTGTAATAGGTCTCCCAGAAGAAAGGGTAAGGACAGATCAAATTTATGAGAACCTCGATCAGCATAGATTTGAGCAAGCCTGAGCTGGATAAGCTATCCAGTGTGTACATTACCCATTCATTCTTTAATAAATCTACATAAAGTGTATATGAAAGCCATATATTGAGGCATAGTAGAATGTTCACACTCCAGGCAAGGCAGAGGAGAAGGAATCGTTCTGATTTATGAGCTTCCCTTCCATATGACAGGTATATCTCATGCTCTACTATAAATATTCCGGTACTAATAAAGGATAACAAAAGAGATCACATGTGGCTGAAGTGATATCTCTTTCTTGAGTCACTAAATAAAAATTAGAAAGATCTCAGCTAAAAATTTACTTTACAGGTCTAGCATATCTATTAGGGTTTTTCTTGTAAGTAATATGCGCATCATCCATAGTTCTTAAATATTTTAAGGCTTCTCTCTTAGTTTCTTGTCTTCTGAGGAGAACTATCGGGATAGTAGACCGTGATCTCTTAGTAGGTTGAAACATACGACTTTTTCCTATAAAACAGTTTCATAAAAACTAAAAAATAAAGATCAGGCAAATACGAATTCGTTTTACTAAGAATTTTCACTAGACTACCTACCTCTCCGGAGTTGTGGACTAATCCTGCTTGCTGTTTCAGTCACGATCCTTTCTCCAAACCTACTATCCCCTCCAAATTCCTGTCCCAGCTCTCTCCCACTCTCATTCCTCCCGTAATGAGGCTTCAGGGCTGAAAACTCCTTCTTCAGGTTCATTGAGGAGTCGTCCAGGTTAATGCTACATAGAAGGTTAGGGCCAAAATTAGGAGGAAATGGAATAGAAATTGGTCATTTTTGAAAATTTATGTGAGATTTTGTAATATGAAGGTGAGCGTTAGGAATTAGATATTAGCTGTTTCTTTGTGGGTGTATAAAAAGGGACTTGTATATGCAAAATATTTTTAAAATGATTTCTATCAATACCTAAAAAATAATTCCAAGACTTATAATAAAAACACATTTTAAACCTCCTAAATAACTTTATTCCACATAATTCACCTAAAATAACCCCAAAACCCTCAAAATCTCCTCTTAACCACCTCTAATATCCCCTCTGCCCCTCCACTCCTCTACTCCCCCTACTCCCCCTCCCCCTCCTCACCCTCCACTCCCCTCCCCAAACTCCCCTTCATCCCTTCCCCACCCTCTGCATCCCTCCCCCTCAGCCCGTCCCTACCCTCCCCACTCACTCACCTATCCTCCGTATTCCCAAGCGTGGTCGGGACAACCCTTTTACTCTTCCTCATTGTTTTTGGAGATTTATATTATATTTATAGCGGAAGTAAAGACATGGGGTTTTGGGGTTTTGGGGTTTTGGGGTTTTGGGGTTTTGGGG